GACATTTAAAAGCTTTCATAAATTGTTCAGTTACTGAATTTGATGTTGAATTTGAAGGAATCGTTGAATATTGCACATCTTTTGTTGATTGTTCATTTGATGTTGAATTTACATCAGTCAATGGACATTCACTAATAATCGATTTTCTGACTTCAACATGTTTAATTGGAGATGATGATAATAATGATGATGATGACGATGATGTTGATTGTTGTTCTTTAGATGGAATTGTTGATTGTTTATGATTTGATTGTTGTTCTCTAGATGGAATTGTTGATTGTTTATGATCTGATTGTTCAAATTGGAAATCATTATTTTGAACAATATCATTTACAATATTACCAAATCCAATAGGAGAAAGTTGTTGATTGAATGTATCAGTTGTTGTTGATGATGAAGGAAGAGATTTGATTGGCGAGGGTACATGTTGAATTTTATTCGATGAAGGCTCATATGATGATCGTTGATCTGATCGATCTAAATTTTGTGTTGATGTTGATGATTGTGGTGTTGAAGAAATATCTTTTTTTATCACTGTTTTTGATTCAAGTATAGAACACATATCATGTTTATTAAGTCTTTTAGCCATATCTAAAGGTGTTTCATCAGCATCATTTCTTACATTTGTTAAACATTTATAATGATCAATTAATACTTGTAAATTATGTGTATCACCACTTTTAACAGCATAATGTATAAGAAAACAAGGTGAATATGGTGGTTTTTCATTTACTAATTTATTATCTTTTTCAAGTATGTCAATAATTTCACGCCAATTTGATTGCTTTGCTTGTTCCATTAATTCATCTTGTAAAAATAAATGTTCAATATATGTATACATTATTGGATGATTATTTTGTTGTTCTTTAGCAATATCAAGAAATGTTTTATTATCTTTTGTTTTAACACGTATATCAATATTATCATCAGAATAAAGTACAATAAAACGTTTGAAAAGATCGACATTCCCATGATGAACAACTTGATGAGCAATAGACCATCGACGTCCAGGTGATATAATAAAAAAATTTGCTGGATTTAAAACTATATGTTGATAAATTTTATCCCATTCACAATTTGCACGTGCCCAATTAGTGACTGTATCAAGTGAGAATTGCATTTCTTCTATAGTGTTATCACGTGATGACATAATGATGAGTTTATTTTTCTTTTAAATCTAGAATAAAATTTGATGAAATTAATTTTTAATTAAAATAAAAAAATAAACATACGAAGGAATGTTTTCAATTAATTAATCGCTTTCTCATTGAAAGCTAGTAGATTATCATGCAGATTTTGCAAATGATAATAAGAAATTCCTATTCCAAAAATCAACATGGTCGATAATCAAAAATATACTTGGTTTTGATGAAAAATCAATTGATCAATTGAAAATATTCTCTCGATAAATGAATCAATCAGTCGGTTTACGAAGAAATCTCCTCCGATGTCTTTTTCTGATTGCAATAAGGTTTTTTCTATGGTTATTACATACAATTTTAATAAAAATTGGATTCCTATTTCATTTGTGGATAGTGATATTTGACACATCCTGTATGAGACAATAAGAGCAAAAAAATAAATAAGACAAACCGGTATTGACCGGTGTGAAATCTATACCGATTTCATCCCTGGCGTATACTAAATGTTTTCTTTGAAAGGTTCACATCTTGAAGAGAGTTTGTTCAAAGCTTTTGAATTTTTTTTTGGTCTAGTTGAGTTCTCTATATGTGCAAAGTTTCAGAACAAAATTCGATAGCTTAGTCAAATTTCAATCGGAATTCAGTTTTTATTAGAACATTATGTAGTATCTATAGACAAAAAAGTCATTGAAATCTGAAGGAAACAGTTCAGGAGATTCTCTCATTAACGATCTGTTTTATACAAATGGAATGATAAATAAAAATGTTATACTAGCGTATATAGAAGTGAATATTGACAATGGAAAGCAATACTCATTAATGATTTTCTTATGAGAAAAAAACACATTGAACACTTGTCTCTCATCAATAAAAAAAAATTAGTCTAATACCGTCGAGTAGAGTAGAAGTATTCAAATTTTTAATAGTAAAGATGTTCATGGCTCACTCCATAGCAGACTTCAAATAATCGATAAAGAGTATTTCGCATGTTTAAAATTCGATCAACCAAATTCAAAAATTTTGAACCTGACGAGCTCTAATCATTTGTTCTATTTTTAAGAATTTCTTAAGAACGAATACCATTATAACCAGATTCAATCATAATTTCATTTACATTCTTTTTTTTTAATGATCGAGTCAACAAATATTAATATACCTGTTGAATTTTGTCTTAATTGACGTATCTATATAAGTTGTTAGTAAGTTCATGTTATCGACCGAAAGTAATCCATAGTTGTAACATACTTCCATGATAAATCTAAAGAGATATACATATCTCTATGTGATTGTGATACGGTTTATGATGGAAGACATGTGAAGAAAAAAAAGATTGCAACATGAACTTCTCTTATAATAATGCGATAGAATTAAAAGATATTAATTATCTAAAAAAAAAAAATAGTTAAATTATCACAAGCTAAATATTTTTTCTAGGAATACATGTAAAATTATCATTCATTCATTTAAAATTCATATCACAGATACAAGACAGAAAATCAAAAAACAAAAACAGTAAATCATATTTTCATTCTACTTACTAATCATGTTTTGCGTACTTAATACAATTATTGAGTAATACTGGTTAAAATTCGTTTAACTACTAAATTTGAACTTAAATTTTTATGAGCAAGTTTTTCGTTTGTCATTGGTGAACGATCATTCGATTGAAGCCAATTTTCAATTGCCGTACGTTCATATGTAAATCCATCAGCAGCAACAACTACAATCAAAACGAAAAAAAATTTATTAATTCAATAGTATTTGATATTTCAAAAGAATATATGATGATTTCTAAACTCAAGGAAAATTTTCAATGAAAAATCAAGTTCTTCAGTCCATAGAATTTTCAATCTCAATTCGATTTGAGTTATCTAGAATGATAAAGCAAATAATTTTTTACAGAATGAAACATCTTTCAACTGTCGACAACATTTTTTGATCAGAGGCATAGAAATCCTTTTTTCGACTATTTTATATGAAAATATCATTTTTGTGCCTTTGATAAACTTGATGTATTTTGATCAAAAACAAAAATGTCGTAGAGAACTGAAAGAAGTTTCATTTTGAAGAGAATTCTTTGCTTTATCATGCTAGGTAACTCAAACATAATTGAGAGTCCAAGTTCTAGGAATTATGACAAACTTGATTTTTCAGAGATTATTTTCCTTGAGAAGCTAGCAATCATATTTATCTTAAAAATCTTCTACTTCGATCGCTATTTCGATTCTTAGTATTAACGGCAACGAAAAAAAAAGAATTGAAAACAAATTTGATCGAATAATTTTACAAACTACTGTATGTAATCTATCTATATTATCTTTCGTTCTGCTGTCATGTGTCAATGCAAATACATTCTCTTTTCCAGTTTGTTCAAGTATAATTCATTTTCATCCTGTATAGATCTTGTATATTCTCTCCAGGACTATCATGGTTGAGTGGCTATATTGTTTGACACATATCCACAAGGTGCTGTGTAAAAACCTTAGAATGACTCTGGACAAATCACTAATAGCCATTTATCCCGGATCGTCTGCCGCTAGGCAGTAACTCAAAGATAAGAGTATTCTTCGTTTCGTACTTTTTAGTGAAACCTTTCCGTGTCCGAATTCTTGTATATATACGTAAATCCGTTACTTGAAACCATGAAAAAATCATTATACATACGCGATAAGATAATATTTATTTCTGACTAACAACTGATTAATGATCAACTATCGTCACAACATCATCGAACTAATTATGTTACTTACCAGGATCGTTAACAATAGCACGTGTAAGAGAACACGTAAGAAGACTAAGTATAGCCTCCGTAGGTTGTTGAAGAGATTTATTTGAAATGTTTGTTGATGTTGATGGTGTAGATTTTGGTTTCACTTTTTTATCGGCTTCTGTTCGAGTTAAATGATTTTTTGCTGGACCAAAAGAAAAATCCGATTCATTGTAGATACTACGTTGATCCATGAGAGTATTTATATTTTTTGTATGTTTTTTAGCTTGTTCTGATGGTTCATATAATTGATCATCAGTATAATTAGTATTAAAATATGATGGATATGTTGTTTCAATATATTGAGCAAAATTTTTACCTTTACCTTCTCGTGCAATATCATTTATTTTTTTACGATCAACTCGTAATGTTAAATCAAATTGAAAATTTTCAATTTGTTGAAATTTTTTAAATTGTTCAATTTCATCAGCATAAGCTAGATGATGAATTAAATAAAATAATCGATAAGGTGGTTTTTCATTACCAAGTATTGAATTTTCTTTAACAATTTCATAACATTTATTCCATTGATATTCTCTAGCATAATTAAGTAATTCATCAAGTTTAACTAATCGTTCAATACGTTTTAACATATCAGATAGATCATCACGTAATTTAGCAATATCAAGTATAGTTTCATTCTCAATTGTTTTACTCAATAAACGAAAATCTTTATTTGATTTTTGTAATGCAAGTACTTGTTCGAAATGTTGTATATTACCAGAATAAACAATATGATGAAGAATTGCCCATCTTCGAGTTTCTGGAATTTTTGTTAACCATTCAGGATGAAAATGAAGTGTTATAAGAACATCTTCAAAATTTTCAAAATGTTTTGCATTTCTAACTGCTTCCTCGAATGATAGTACATTATCCATAAGTTATCAATATAAAAATTTATAATATCTAAAGACAGATAAATCGAAAGAATTATATAAATATATATTATTACAGTAAAAAACAAAAAAAAGAATATCGCTTCTTTAATAGACGAAAACAAATAGATCGTCTATATATTTTTTTGAAAATAATAAAATCGAAAAGAAATATTGAGGAATGTATATTAAAGTTCAAAAAAAAAAACAAAACTCTTATTCAGGATTATTAGTATTTTTTTTTTGTAGTTTTTCATCCGTTTTTTTTTCGTGTTTTTTTGAATCACAAAATGATTGTAAAATTGATTTGACAGCATGATTTGGTTTTAATTCTTTACTGTCAAGTTCTTGATTTGTCATTGGACTACGATTAGAATCTTTAAACCAATTAACAATTGCTTCTCTTTCATAAGTAAAACCATCAGCAGCCACAACTATAGAATACAAATATAATTAAATATCATACATTCAAAGTTATTAAGAGTCCATTCATATAGGTATCCGAACAATTCATTGCGAGCGCTTGGATGTGAATGTCTGTGAGAACAGATTCATATCTCACACCTACTCTCATTCACATGATCGTCTGCACCTACTCACACCTACGCTCTAATCATAACCACCTACACCTATCCACGTTCGTTCTTACTCATCCATTTTCGATGCTCCTTCAAGATAATTTAAGACTAATTTTCTTGACGTCCGATTTAAATTATTTTTTGCAAAGTGATTAAAAAAGTGAAAAAATATTCTGTCCGTCCGTATGTGTTCGATACTACCTTCGTCTATGTTCGGTTTCGACTGATTGCTTCTCTTCCCTTACTCGTACATGTCTTATGCATAACCACTAAAACCATTTCTAAAACTAGTCAATATTATCTATAATTTCTTTGATTATTATAAATATTTAATGTTTTGAAATCTTTATCCTACCAGATCGTCACATCTTAAGATAAATATCATATTTCATCTGCATTAAAGATGACAAAATTTTCAAAAATCAAACACTTTTTACTAATGTCGAAGACTATTTTATTAGCTCATTTTGATGTCACATTATGTTATGAAAACAAAATTGAATAATTACTTACGAGAAAAGTCCTTCAACTGATAAATCACTTTTGAATCGAGACTATACGAAAACCTAATTTTCGAATTTCGACTTGAAACTTTGCGTAGCGAAAGATCTTAACAAGAATAGGTTTTTTTTTGAATTGTTTCAGATCTTGTGGCTATTTCTATTCTAAAATACAATTATTGTAATAGGATATGTCTTTTACATCGCTCATACAAACCGATCGGTTTGATATACTTAAACCAAATCAAAAGATCTAAAACTAAGCGAGAAAGTGCTGTGATGTACACAAGGGGGAAATGTAGGTGCAGAACCCTCAGCACTTTTGGGTATTGAAAGTTAGTTGTAGTAGGGGTGTACAACTTACATTTGAGACAGCTGTTTCTCAACTATTGTAAGGACCAAACATACCGATATTCGGATCAAATGAAAGAGGATCTCGAATAATCTCAGAATTGGTCCGAACAAGCCTATGTTTTGTCCTTATAATAGCTGAGAAATAACTCCTTGCAACCTGATTGGTCAATACGAAAATAATATCAACCAATTAGATTTCAGCAGGGTTTTTTCCTCTATAGTAAAGACAAAACATAGGCTTCTTCAGCTCAATCATGGGGTTACCCAGAGCCCTCTTTTATTTGACCCGAATATCAATACATTTTGTCCTTATAACAGCTGTCTCAAATGTGAGCTGTACACCCCTACCACTACTAACTTTTAGTACCAAAAGATGCTGAAGTGCTGAAGGTCTCAAATCTGCACTTTCTTCCTTGTCTGAAACTTTCACAATCAATTACCGTTGTAAAAACCTGTTTCTATGCAAAGTTTCAAAGTTGAAATTCGCAAATCAGTTTTTTCTATTACATACGGCATTCATTTTAAAAAAAAATATCATAAATGTACAGTATCTTGGCAGCAAGAAGCTAAGAAGACGAATTATTTTCAGGATATTAACAGCTCATTTGGGTCTGCATAATGCACATAGGCTCGATTCAAAAAGCAATTTATTAGTTGAAGAATTTCTCTCATTAGTATTATAATTTATTTATATTTTCTATTATTCATAGCATATATTTCGACGAAAACGTATGGCAATGAATAGCGAACAACATTGATAATATTGAAACGAAGTACTGATACAATTATTGAAATGATTGAAAAGAAGATATGACTCATTAAACGCATTAATTCGAATGATTCACTAACCAGCAAGGAAGAAACCCTATTAGTTCCATCTATGACATGTACTCTGTTAAACTAAAGTGAAAATCATTTTTTGGTTACGAATAAATCAACTCTCATTAATATAAATTCATTTGAAAATAAAAATCCGATCTCATCATAGGTTTTCACAATGTTTCTTAATGGTAATAACAGAATGTATATTCTTAAATTGATCATAGATTTTTAAGTATGAACATAAAACAAATGATTACCTGGATCTCTAAGAATAGTTTTTGTAATACAACATGTAATAGCATTAAGTAAATTTTCTGAAGAAAATTTTTTAATATTTTCCATAACTGTTTTTTCATATTCAAATTGTTCTTCATCAGTCATTATTGATTGTACATTTTGTTCTGATTTTTTTTTATTTTCATATTCAGTTTCTTCATCTATTGAATTTTGTTGAGAATCTGTTGTAATGACTGACATAGCTGTTGGAAGTTGATCTTGCAATGGATAAGGTGGTGTATAATGTGATGCATTAGATGGATAAGAATGATGATGATAATGACTAGGAAATTGTAATAATCCATCTTGTGATAAATACATACTTCCTAATGTATTTTGATTTATTGAAAATATCATTATACCAGGATCATCATAAAATCCTTGACTATATGATGGTGCAGTAGTTGTATGTAATGTAGATGAATCATTTCCTGTTGCTGCATTTTGATTATCATTTTCAATTGTTTCATTTATATTTGCTTGAAGATTTTCAATATATTCAGCAAATTCAATATGATTATTTTCACGTGCTATTTCATTAACTGTCTTATTATCAGCAATTAAATTAAGTTTAAATTGACATATTGTACTTAAATCTTTAAATATATCAAGATTACCTATTGATGCAAGATAATGTATTAAATAAAATTTTCTATATGGTGGTTTTTCATTAACAATATCAGGTTGTTGACGAAGAAATTGTCTTACTAATTCCCATTTATTATCACGTGAATTATGTAATACTTGATCAATAGCAACAAGACGTTCAATATGACGTAACATTTGTGGATGTACATGTGCACGTTCAGCAGCAACTTCACGAACTGTTTTATCATCTAATGTTTTACATAGAAGACGAAAATCTTCATTTGGCATTTGATAAGCAAGAACTTCATTTAAATGTGAAACATTACCAAAAAAAACAACTTGATGTAATATTGTCCATCGACGACCTTTATTATATAAAAAAATAAATAAGTCTGTATAGTTTTTTTTTTTTTTTGTTCCATCTTATATACAACAAACGAACGAACCTTCGGGAATTCGTGTTAACCATTCGGGATGATCGGATATAACTGAAGATACTTTATGCCAATTATAATTATTTTTTGCATATTCATATGTTTGCATAAATAAATTAGTTTGATCAAGTGCTGATGTTGTCGTTGTCGCTGTTGTTGTTGTTGTTGGAGTTATTGGAGTAATTGGTGGTGTCGATGGAGTTATTGGTGATGTCGATGGAGTTATTGCTGATGTTGTTTGAGTTTCATCATTTGATAATGAATCATTTGAATTCGATGTTGTTAATATTTCATCCGACATTGATGGAGATTTATTTTTTTTAGAAAAAATACTAAAATAAAAAAAAAAAAGCATTTAAATTAAATTAAATGATATCAAGTTCATTGGACACGCACTTTAATTTCGACAGTAACTGAAGCATCGCGAATAAATAAACTGTAATAGGTGTTGTTTGCTTTTTTTTTTTCGTTAGCTTAAACGAACGTACAGGCAAAGAAAAACGACAAGAAAAAAACACCAGTGAATGTTATGAATCGTTTAATGATAATATTTGTTACCAAAACAATTTCGTGATTTTTTTTTTATAACGACATCAATGTCACATGTTACATCTGTCTCGATTGTAAGGAAACGAAAAAGAAAAAACATGACGCTGTTCTTTTTTACTTTTCTTTATATTTTACACAGGTTGATTTATATATCAATGAAATAATTATTTATTCATTCTATTTTATGGTTGGAAAGAAAAAAACAAAGATTTTCGATGTATAATTTGTTAAGATTAACATAAGAGGAAGAAGATCTATGAAAAATGTTTTCTTTTCCAACAAACCTATGACGACAATTTATTCTGACAAAGCTTATGAAGAAGATAAAGATGGATTTATCGTATTTATCATTGACCTTTTTCTATACATATTGTGATATACTACAAGTAGCTTCAAAAGGTTTGTTAAGTTATCATAATAACTGTAGCATCTGTCCAGATCTCAGTGAAATCGTCATTTACGAAAAAAAAACGACGCCTACTACGTTGTTTTTCAAGACACTGTGATGTATGTAAATAGAAGAGTGTAACTGGTCTTAAATACTATTTATGTCCCATGTCGGATGTTTGCTCAGACTACCGACGATTGTTATCCGGTTCGAATTATATGGGATGTATGTCTATCGAATCTGTTCGTTTTCTTGCTTTGTTTATCATGATTTTTCTAAAGTTATCATTTTGACTGGACGTAATTATGACTAACTATAGATTGTAATCATTGTCTGTTTATTTATCTATTTTCATTAAGGATATTATTTGAAAATTCTAGTTATCTTAAATAAATTGTCAATTAATTTTTATTGTTTTAAGTTTCATATAATTATATGATTACGATATTTATATTTTCTTTTATAAAAATAGTCTTATGTTCATCATAATATAATGTCATATTTATGTAGGAAAAAAAAAACATATACAAGCTACGACACATCAATGAAAATGAATGATGACTGAAGAAAGATGCTTAACCTATCAAAGGTAGGCGAAGCTTACAAAAACATAAATTTATTTGAATTTATGGTGTGTCTATTTGTTTTTCCTTTCTTTCATGTAATGACGCATGTCATGTCAAGCGTATCATAAAAATACTGAATATATTTGACTAATAGTTTAGTATTGCATACTTATACATATAGACTAATACAATCAGGTCATGTTTTTTACAAAATAATCGAATACGTTTCTAATAGTATGAAAAAAATGTTTTTTTTTTCATAGTACACTATTCTTTTCATTCTCAAATGCCCTTCTTAATCTGTATAAAAGATTAACTTTATTACATAACCAGAGGATAATATAATAGATTGTATTTAAGTAGAGATATGCATGGTTAGGTTTTTTTTTCGTATATTATGTTCAAACTAAGAAAAATTTTCTAATCCTTTATCCGATCTTGAATATTTCTATATCCAAGTTATACAAGGGATTATATTAAGCAAAAACAAAAAAACATTATTTTTTAAACTCTATTTATCGGTAACCTTAACCTATAAGACTTCTATTCTATTAATTCAAAATAAAACATGAAAAAATATATTACTAAAAAGATTTCTATTATATAAAATAATATAAGAAAATATTTAAAAAATGACAAAAAAAAAAATTTACAATAAAATTTTTCATACGCTATTATTAAGTTAGATCTTTACCATTTTGTGGCGTTTTCCAATTAATATTTTATCTAGAATCTTTTATATCACATGTTTTATAATGGATTTCAATTTTGAACATTTATTTGTAATTGACATTCGCCGAATTTATTTTCTATAAATTCATAAACATCTAAATAGACAAGAAAAAAAACAGTCTCTACCTGCTGGACAACAGCATTATTCAGATTCGTCGTAAATAGATGGATTTTTCCGTTTTTGTTGTCTTCTTCATGGCATATGAAATTTTAGTTTTTCTGTTTTTATTATTACCGTGACTTTCTCCATTCTTTCTCATCATGTTCATTGGGCTTTTTCCTTCTTTGTTAATAACCATGGGATTTCTCATTACGCCCACACGTGTAGATAGAATAGGATAACGCAGTAAACGATTTTCATCTTCTTCGGTGAAGCGATAACACTAGTGTCCAACTTGTTTTGATTAGGAAGTGGCAGATGGCACTATCACTACATGATTAGTCGAATAGTTAACGACGAAATTAAAACTTTAGCTTCTTTCTTGTTTTGAAAAAGGTAATGGCGAGTTCAATTACTTTATTGATATTATGTATTCTTGATAAAATGATGCATTTAGTGAGGGCGCCACCTGCCATTGCACAACCAAAACAACAGGGACGCTGGTATCCTGGCTCTGCTCTGATAATCAGGATGTTCGAATAAAATTAAAATAAAGAATTTTGGTTTGAAATTTTTCTCTATAAATAAATATCTATAGGCAAAATTTCAGATCAAAATTTTTTATTTTGATTTTTCCGAACAACCTGACCCTCTGTAAAATAGTCGTAAGCCTTCGCCAATACGCCACATGCTCGAATCCTTCTAAGCTTTTTCTTTCTCAATACACTCTATCGAATGACGTACGTATGAATAAGTCAAAACGGAAGTGAAAATTTTCATGTACTTTCTTCATACGTTAAATTTGTTAATAAAAATACTTATTAAAATAGAATGTAACAGAATCGAATGTTAAACGATCTTCATTTGTCTAATTTATGAACTATTCTTTGGATAATCTCTACATGAGAGTTGAATAGGAATCGTCGAACAGCGATTGATATCTTTCGCTATTTGTCTTGAAAATTTCACGTTTGCAGTCATTAATGAAGACTTTCCCCACGCCTCAAGATTACAGCGGATTGAAGTATACAATGTGTGACACTATATAGACATGCGAACCTTTATTGAAAATGGAGGATAATGCATTTAAATCATAGAAAATTAGAAAAGTGTCAAATAAAGCCTTTTTTTGGGTTCTAGAGAAAAAAAATCAGTATTTTGATCGTAAATTCTTTGCATTAAGGTCTATCGACCTCGTATTGCTGCTTGGGATCAGGATTTATCGAGCGAAAATAATTATTTTAATAGAACTAACATATGCAGTTAATTTACCTAAGCTTACAATGTGATTTCCATGATGATACAATGGTAGAAGGCCTTTAAAAGAAAAAAAAAAGAAATCTAAAATAAGTTGTATATAAATATTACCTTTTTGGAATAGAGATCGATATTGCTGAGATTTTTATTCGTTAATAAAAACTTATCCTTTGTAACTGGATTATTCAATGAAGCAGCTTTAATAATTAAAAGGTTTTTTTAATTAAAAATACAAGAAAAGAATTGTATTATTTACCAATAGTTGAGTTTTTTGCAATAATATATACACGTACTTCTCTATTCTTTGATTTAAAAATACACACAAAAAAAAAATAATAATATGATCAGAAAAATGATATCTAATCCACAATCACTACAATCGTAGTCTTCTGTATAACATTCCTGATTAATATCTATAAACAAAGAATATCGTTTCAAAAGATTTCCTAACTCTTAAAATTTGTTTACGAGTGAATCAATAATGTTACCTTTTCATCGTTCATCCTTATCTCTTGAATGAATTGTATAATGTATCATTATTTTTCGTAATAATGCTGTTGAGACATTAGTTGAATTCTACTTTGTAGATGGGCACTGAAGAAATTACTAAAGGTGAAAAATTACTATAGGAAATATTTTTTTTTGTAAATTTTTGACATACTTCTTTTAATAACAAATAATTGTCGACAAAATATTGATGATATTTATAATAAACAAAAAAATATATCTAATGAATTAACTTTAAAAATGTAACAAACATATCATATTTTTTGCTTTGTGTGTTTTTTTTTTCAATCATATCTGACCGTGCAACGTAAATCAATGTTCAAAATACAAACAGAAGAAAAAAAAATGAAGTTATATCTGCGATAGGGACGTTAAGAAAAGTTTTCCTGAGTGAAGAATCAAAAGAAGAAAAAAAAAACCAAAATAAAGTCAAATAGTAGATACAACTTGAAAAAAAAATATGAAATTGTTTTACTATTGATGATCGGGTGATGTTCTTGGCATAATTTTTCTTTGTTGATAATAATTTTCTTTTCCTATTTTTAAACGTCGTTGTCGATGACATTTCATTCGATCAATTGTATTCATTGTTTTTTTATTATTATTTGTTATTGTTGATTGTTGTTGAGTATACATTGATTGAAGAAAATCTTGTGTTACAACAATACATTTTGTAAATGATGATGGTTTTGGATTTGTTTCGGATATAACTTGAACAATTTGATGAGATGGTGTTGTTAATGTTTCATAATGCATTGAAAATAATTGTTCAAGTGTTGAATTAAAATCTTCATTATCATTTGTTGTTATTGGTGGTACAGATGGTACTGGTGTGTCAGGTAGATCATGTTGATAATCCATTGGTGGTGTTTGACTAATTAAATCATTAAAACCTACAGTTAAAAAATCATCATCAAATAGTAAATCATTTGAATTATTGTTATCGATTTGTGAAGATAAAAATGTTTGATTAAGACATTCTAAAAATATTACAAAAAAAAAATTATTATTCGATATTTAATAAATAAACAAAACAAACCATTGTGTTTTGATAAATTAAAAAAATTTTGAAAATCAAGAACTTCTAAATCATTTTCATTTTGATATTGTTCTGGATTTTCATAACTTGCATATAGCCGTGTACGAAGATCAACAAGATGTTTACTTTCATCAAGAAAATTTAAAAATGTTTTTGACATTTGTTCATTTTCAAGATATTCTAATATTAATAAAGCTTCATCTTTAGGTGAAAGATTTAACCGATTATTATCCGTCATTGCTTTTTTTTTTTTTTTTTTTGTTTAAAGATATATTTATAAAATT